GAGTTGTTTTGAGTGGGAATTGCTCTCTTGTAAAGCTATCCTCCCATCATCTTCTCTCAAGAATTCCTGTGTAAGAAGTCTATCAAACTATCAAGTTTTACTTCATCTTTTTCAAATCATCTTCAACTTTTGTTTATTTCGTGCATAATTGGTCATCTCCAGTATTTATTTTATGCAAATCTGGTCATCTCCAGTATTTATCTTCTGCTAATCTGGTCATCTCCAGTATTTATCTTCTGCTAATCTGGTCATCTCCAGTATTTACTTTTTGCAAATCTGGTCATTTCCAGTATCATTTACTTTACAAACTATTTTCAAGTTAATCTTTTGTTGGCTGTCTCATTCCGTCCTTACTGGTATCAGAGCCTGGGGGGAAGGGTTTGTCTAAATCTTCTTACTTATTATTAGTTGAGAGATGGGTACCCCATGGTTAGATCCTAGCTGAGTCCTTGGTGAGAGAGTTGTAAGACCTTCTTTGGCCGTTAATCTATCTCACCTGTAAGTTAGATCCTACCTTTGTTTACCTTCTTTCCTCTAGTCATGAGTTCGATTTTTAGACCTTCCTCTTCTTCCTCTAATTCTGACATCACCGGGAACCGTGTGATCAACCAAGAAGAAATTAATTTTGAAACTGTTAGTAAAGAAATTGATAATTGGCAAATTCCTAGGATTGCCCAAAAGGAAATTTATGAGCAAAGCAAATTTAACTTCCTCAATAAAATGGATTATACCATCAAAACCGAAGAAAGAGATATTCATCTTTTCAATGATTATGAAACTATCAAACTTTTGTCTCAAAATTCTATTCAACAACACAAAAAGAAGTACAACTATATCCATATTGGGTTAGTTCAAGTAGGGATTAAGCCTCTATCCAAAGAAGGTCTTAATACTGCTATTTTAATGGTTTTACGAGATTTTCGGTTTCTTGAGTTTAACGACTCTTTACTTGGAACTGTTGAATCAAGTCTTTGTAATGGCCCAATTTACTTCAATTGTTTTCCAAACTTTACTGTCTCTCTTCATGACAAAAATATTTTAGATGTTTTAACCCTACAAATAAAAACTTTCAACTATAAAATCCAACAAGGATCTTTACCAATCTCTTTGGTTTACCGCTTACACTATAAAGCTATGAAATCTGCTTTCTCTTCTAAAGCTCTTCAATATGGTACAAAAGGAGAAACTATACTTTGGCAAACTGATTTAACTCGTACTAACATTGTTACTCCCAAAACTATCAAATGGGGAGAAGTTACTCTTCCTACAGAATGGACCCTTGAAGGAGCCACCATTCCCAGAAACATCGACCATCGTCAGGTTAATCAAATTACTCAACATCTTGATGGTACTGTTAACATCTCTTTTGCTAGGAACTCCATCTCTAGCATTTCTGATATAGACCCTGAATTGACAGACGATGCTCGACAGCGCATCAATACTTTTCTTAGAAGCCAATCTTGTAGAAATCTTTCTCCCATACCTACACCCACTCGACATACCTCCTCTACACTCAACTATGATCTACGAGGAATCAACAACTCCAACAACATACCTCAGCCAGTTTATACTCCACCACCTCCCACAACTCTTTTTCCAAATATAAATACCTCGAGAACACCAAATATGTCTCCTACTGCCTCACAAGCTGCATTTCCTGAAGAAGAAATCCCTTCTGCTCTTGATGTCATTACACAAGAGTTCAAAATACACAAAGAATTTCTTCGCCATGATTTCTATTCCCAACGAAACCGTTTTAAACGCGAGCAATTTTTTACTAATTACTCTAAAGAAGAACGTGTACTTATACAAAACTCTTTCTATGATTATCTCAATAATATACGAGAACACCATTCTTTCTTTAATTGGTTCGAACAAGTCTTTTCTCAATCTTCGATAAATGTTCAAACCAAGCCTATGACTTGGTTAACTACTAATAACTCTAAGATCCAATCTATTCACCCCCCTAATGCTCCTGTTAATTTTTCTTATTATGGAACAGCAGTTCAAGCCTCTCCTTTTAAATTAAAACGAGAAAATAGTGACCATGTCAAAGGCGAAGATATTCGACGTCTGATTGAACAAAACAATTATACAAACCGATTTCTTCAGACATTAGGAGATCAATTTACTAATGTTGAAATCAGTCTACCTCTGTCTTTTGCGTCTACTTCAAATACTCTTATTCCTCCTTCCAACAAACTTAATTCCCCAATTTTCAAACCTTTTGAAGTTTCTAAAGAATCTAGTCTTGAATTTAAGCTTGAAATAGAAAAACGTCTTAAACAACTTTCTACACAACCACCACCTCTTCTCCCCATTTCATAGTGGTAAAAATTCTTTTATGGTACAATCTAAACTTATACATTTCATGTTATGGTACAACTTTAAGTTATACATTAAACACCAATACTATATAGCATAGTAGAAATGCTCTCATTTAAGCTTGGGATGCAATTTACATCCGTCTTTTTGCAAAAAAAAAAGCATTACTAAGTTAAACATTTTCTTAACATAAAAGTTGGGAGTGAGCAAAACAGAGAAGAAGGAAATATGATGATTATTCACCTGATCAACTATTTTTTGATTTGGGAGAATTCTATCCGATAATAACAAGATAATATACAATAGGGTTATAAGTTTCATTTCACCTATATCGAATTGAGGTTTCGAGTTTGAATGAAATGGGTAAATGTCAAGTTTCGTTAGAATTATTTAAAAAGTTCACGTTTGCCACTAAAATTATACTTGAACCAAACTTACGAGAATCGTGGTTAATTAGTGAAAAACATCTTAGAATCAAGGACTGGATCACTAGTATATTCGGTCCATTTGGTCTAATCCAAATATCAGTTCGGTCTATAATTTCTTCAATAATTGTAAAATTTATTAGGACCAAGAACCGTCCAATTCCGTTAACTTAGTCTGGTTTGGCAATCAACTCTCAAAGTTGACCGTTAACTAGGTGACGTGGAAATTAAAAAATAATAAAGAAAATAAAATTTTTTCTTTTACAATTTCCAACTCATTTTCACAATAAAATAAAAATAAATAAAACAGAAAAATATTATAATTAGATATTTAATCCTTCCACGGAGAAATACTCCCGAAACCTCGCCCGCCCTATCACCGAGCTCCTCCGCCGTCGCCATTCTGGAAGCTAATGAATCTGAGAGAACAAAATGAATAACAAAGGCGGAGAGATGGTCGCCGGTTCACTCTCTCTTCTCTTTCATTGCTCTCCTCTTCCACTCGCATTCTCCAGTCACAGGAGCAGGCGAGCAGCCATACCCATCAGAGGCACATTAGAGATCAATTTGCCTCCCACCTTCTAATTTCCATTATCCTCCTCTGCCAGAGCATCCTCTCCCGCCTCCGAATTCGAGACCAAGCCAGCCGCCACCTCCCAAACGCTCTCTACCTCCGTCAACTCCTACACCCTCTCCTCCTCCGCCGTCGTCGACGCCAGACGGCATATTCGAGAATGCGAGAATCGTCAAGGCCTTTAAATCAATACAGAGATTCAAAAGCAAAATAAAATGTGATCCGCCGCATTACCGGTTCCTGGTAAGGAAATGACGTCTGCAACTATAATCAATTCCTCAACAATCAGTTCTCCGGCTGCTTGCCGTGGGAGATCGGGAACCGGACCCCGACCAGGATATTCGACGCCCGAGATAACAGGCTCACCGGTCCAATCCCCCACTCCTTGTGCTTGTCGGAGATTCAAGACATAAAAATTTGGCGAGGAACCAATTGTACGACGCCATTCCGGAGAGCGTTTGCTAGCTGTCGAAGCTCGCCAATCTGTCGGTTTCTTCCACTTACCTAGGGGGACGCGTGCTAGGATCTCATCAAGAAAAGGGTTTTGGATGTCCGTCACAAATCTATTTTGGATCTCCCAGGGCAGATATCGTTGGCGGAATGTGGAATGTTCTTCACCAATAAGCACACTTGCCCCAACGAGAAACGTTAGTGAGCTATGTCCCCCCGTAAGAATGGCTTCACCGGCGGGAAGAATTTCCACCAACAATCGACGTGGTTTTGGGAGTATTTCGCCGGCAGGGAAGCATAAATTTCTAATTGTAATAATTTTTGTGTTTTATTTATTTTATTATATTGTGAAAATGAGTTGGAAATTGTAAGAGATTAAATTTTATTTTATTTATTATTTTTTAATTGCCACGTCACTCAATTAACTGTCAACTTTCAGAGTTGATTGCCATGTCAGACAAAATTAACGGAATTGGACGGAGAGTGACCAAATTTGAAACTTTTCACTAATTTTAGTGGCCACGAATGAAATTAAATATTTTTAATCATCAAACGTGAACGTTTTTAGTAAACCCAGTGACCAACCATGCAATTAACCTTTTTTTATTTCTTAACAGCTTTATAGTTGTTTTCTCCAGCGAGCGAGGGAACGAAAAACAAAAGGAAGGATAAAGCTTTATAGCCGTTGCACTCGAAAATCCTCTGTCTCTCTCTCTCTCTAAAGAAGGGGGAAAAGTCATCGTCTTGCGTCAAAATCTCTTTAATTTGAAACTCGGGATAAAAGCTCCTTCAAAATGAATGGAGTGAGAGGGAAACTCCTGAAGAAGCACAATCCATTAAACTAGTTGTGTATCTCAAGCAGCCTGACCGCGTTCTTCAGCGGATATCAAGAGATGAGCTCCAATCAGTTTTAGAGAATCAGTGGGTCGAACCTCCGAGTGACACTCTGCCGACCACCACCAAGGAGGGCTGGATCGGAGTTCGAGAGACAGATTATAAAGATGGGATAAAACTTGATGATTCGGGTGATTATTTCGTTGAAGATAAAGAAAATTTGGGGCGGCCGCAGGTTATAGCTCTGTTTCCCGGCGGCCAATTGAAAGAAGCTTCTGGTAGGGGCGGCATCGAAGAAGGGGGGCATTTGTGACGAAAATGAAGAAACTTTGGGGTCATTCAAGAAAATGCCGTTGTTAGAGATTGACATCTCGTCTTTCCGTCGGCCGGACATGAATTCCAACACCCTCTTCGACCCAAACCTGTTGGCCGCGTTCAAGATCGCGGCGAAGGAGTTTATGGACCGGATTGAGGAAGAAAGAAGAGAGACAATCGCTAGCTTAGAAGAGGATCGGCTTCGAAGAAGCAGGGAAGGCAGCGGAACAGAGCAAGCAAGTAGTCTGAAACAGAGCAACATAGCAAAGAGAAAGTGAAGCAGAGCCTCCTCTGAAATCCAGCGTAATTGAGGACGAAATTGAAGAACAACTGGATTTCGAAGAGAGATGCCCTCCGGGGGGGGGGGGGAATCGATAGAGTGGTTTCCACTCAACGACACTGAGAGGGATAAGGAAGACGTTCGAGGACTGCAATGGAGTCAGGTTTCTTTCTTTTACAGAGCCTTCGAATCGGATACCACGAGAGGGACGTATCGATGCACAAAGATTACAGGGAAGAGCTCTGGGAGGTCCTGGAAGGAAAATTCATGCCACCGAGACTTTTCGTCAAGGGAAGGTACATTGGCGAAGCTGAAGAAGTTTTGGGTTTGAATGAACAGGGGAAGTTCAGGGTGCTCTTTGAAGGGTTTCCACCAGTTGATAGATCAGCTAAACCTTGTGAGGCCTGCAATGGAGTTTGTTTCGTGCTCTGTTTCAATTGCAGCGTGATAGAAACCCGCTCGGCGGGTAGAGTGGGTCGGGTTGGCCATGTTGGCCGGTTAGGAGTGGCATTTTTGTTATTTTCTCTATTAGTGCTGAAACTCATAAAAGAGGAGGGAGTATGTTCATTTGGGATTAAGCAAGAATATTATCATAATCCCTAATTTTCTCTATTCTCTGTTCTTCCCCAATTCTCTCAAATCCCTAACTCTTTTCCCCCAATTCTTGTCAATTCCCATCCCTACTCTTCTCTATCAATTGGTATCAGAGCCTGGTTGAGCTCGATAAGGCTCTCTGATCTGGACTGGACCAGTGTGCAGCAACAGATTGATGCCATCAGGGCTAACCAAGCCCGTGTCGCGTGCGCGCATGGTAGAGACGCGGCGGCTGTGGCGGCAGCGACGGTGGGGCGGTTGGCGGCGCCGCCGCCAACAGGGGCGGCCAGCGGGCTGGGAGCGCCGGCGCCGGCGGGCAAGCGAGCGGGCGTGGGGCTGCCGCGCCGAGGGCGCTGCTGCGGGGAGCGTGCAGGATGACTCGGTCTCAGAGGGGGGACAGCGGTGGAGCTCGTCGCAAGCGGAGAAGGCGGCCGAGAGCCGAGAGACGCAGCGCGCGTCGGGGGGCGGAGCGGCGACCACGCAATCGGCAGGCAAGGGGGCGACCCCCTCGCTCTCTCTTCATGCTGTGTCCGGGCTGCCGACACCCGAAACTCTCCGATTCCGAGCTCAGGTTGCCGGTACCTTGGCTTTGACCTAGGTGGACAGTGGTGCCACCCTGAATTTTGTTAGCGAAGAACTTCCCAAGCTTCTTCCACAGACGCCGAGCTTGGTGGACCCGATGGTGGTTCGAGTAGCTAATGGAACACCTATGCAGTGCAAGACTGTCTATCGGGAGCTGTCATTCGAGATTCAAGGGATGAGTGTCACCGCGGATGTGTTTGTGCTGCCCATTCGTGGGTTTGACATGATTTTGGGTGTTCCATGGCTGCAGGGATTGGGACCAGTCACCACTAATTGGCGTAGCTTAACGATGCGGTTCAAATGGCGAGACAAAGAGTGGTGTTTACAGGGGCTGACCACGGCCCGGGGACCGGTTTCTTTCCTGGAGTGCATAACCGGGAAGGAGGTGGAGTTGGCGGTTATGTGCTGGCCGGTGGCATCGTTGGAGGACCAGGAGCTAGCTCACGATCTTCAGCGGGTACTGGCTGGTTTTCTGGAGCTCTTTCAGACACCGACCACATTGTCGCCGCATCGGCAGGTCGATCATCGCTTTTAGCTCAAGGAAGGGGTGGAAGCTGTGAACGTCCGCCCATATTGATATGGCCATTCCCAGAAGGAGGAGATTGAGCGACAGGTGGAGGAAATGCTAGAGACCGGATTGATTCGGCCGAGCACCAACCCTTTCTCCTCGTCGCTGCTACTGGTTAAGAAGAAGGATGAGACTTGGCGCTTCTGTACTGATTATCGGGGGCTAAATGCCGCGACAGTGAAGGATCGCTTTCCGATCCCGACGGTGGATGATATGTTGGACGAGCTACATGGGTCGACATACTTCACCAAGCTCGATCTGCGAGATGGGTACCACCAGATTCGGATGACGGAGGAAGATGCGCACAAGACCGCTTTCCGGCCGCATAATGGCCATTATAAGTACTTGGTCATGCCCTTCGGCTTGTGCAATGCTCCCTCGACTTTTTAGGCGGCGATGAATGACATATTCCGGCCGCTGCTGAGACGGTATGTGCTGGTATTTTTTGATGATATTCTAGTCTACAGTCTCTCTTGGGAGATGCATTTGCAGCATTTGCAGGCGGTATTCGAGATATTGAGGCACCATCAGTATTACCTCAAAGCATCGAAGTGTGCGTTTGGGGTTCAGAAGGTGGAGTACTTGGGCCACATTGTCACTCCACAGGGGGTCCAGGTGGATCAATCGAAGATTCAGGCTATGGTCGAGTGGCCAACCCCGACTACTGTCTCACAGCTGAGGGGATTCCTGGGTTTGACCGATTATTACCGGAATTTTGTGTAGGGCAACAGTATGATCGCCCTGCCCTTGACTAATCTGTTGAAAAAGGGCGGGTTTGCATGGACACCAGAAGCAGACAGGGCATTTCAGCAGCTCAAGCAGGCCATGACGACCACCCCGACTCTAGTCATGCCGGATTTTTCTCGGACCTTTGTGATTGAGGCCAATGCCTCGGGCCAGGGTATTGGGGCGGTGCTATCTCAGGATCGTCACCCGGTGGCCTATATGAGTAAGACCTTGGCCCCATCCAAGGAGGCTTGGTCTACTTACCAGAAGGAGATGCAGGCTATTATCACAGCAGTGCAGATGTGGAGACCGTACCTTCTGGGACAGAAGTTCCACATTTACACCGATCACCAGAGTCTGCAGAACCTCTTGGAGAAGCGAGTTTCCACTCCCGACCACCACAAGTGGGTCTCGAAGCTCCTTGGGTATGATTACGAGATTCATTATCGCCCAGGGCCCTCCAACGTCGTGGCCAATGGGCTTTCGCGGTGCTCAGGGGGCGAGGTACTGGCGGCAGTGACGGGTCCGGTTCCCCAGTTCTGGGACGCATTACAGGCCCTCACCGATACCGGCACCTACCTGTAGGGTTGTCGGGATATAGCAGTCAGTGAGGCTTCGGGCCATTATTCTTTCAGACAGGGGCTCGTATTCTTCCTTGGACGCAATGTTCTTCCGCGGGGATCTTCACTAGTGACAACCGTGCTGCAGGAGTATCATGACTCCCCATTCGGTGGGCACTCAGGAGTCGAGCGGACGCTGAGGAGGATCCGGGCCCAGTTCTATTGGCCCCAGATGAGTCAGGACGTGAAGGATTATGTAGAGTCGTGCGATGTTTGTCAGTGGGTCAAGGCCTCTCATCTGAGACATGCGGGTCTCTTGCAGCCCTTGCCAGTACCTGAGCGGGTATGAGAGGATATCAGCATGGACTTCATCGTCGGCCTTCCACCCTCCCGAGGAAAGACGGTCATGTTCGTCGTTGTTGATCGACTGACGAAGTATGCCCATTTCATGGCCCTGGCGCACCCATACACGGCACGAGCAGTGGCAGAGCAGTTTGTGTTGGGGGTCGTTCGACATCACGGGTTCCCGAGGTCTATTGTTCAATGACCGAAACTCCGTTTTCTTGAGCCGGTTCTGGCAGGTGGTGTTTACTATGGCACAGACTACCCTGCGGATGAGTTCCGCCTATCATCCACAGACAGATGGCCAGACTGAGGTGGTTAAACGTTACCTGGAGCAGTACCTGCGCTGCTTTGCCCATCAGCAGCCGAGGTGGTGGTTGGCTCTCCTACCTTGGGCCGAGCTATGGTATAACTCCACCTACCATAGGGCGATCCAGACTACACCATTTGAGGCCCTTTATGGGCGGCCACCACCCTCTCTAGTCCGCTACCAGAGTGGTACCAGCCAGGTGGATGCATTGGATCGATGGTTGGAGACGCGAGACGAGGCCTTGGAGCAGCTCAAGGCCAACCTGGCAGCCGCCAACAATAAGATGAAGCAGTTGGCTGATGCAGGGCGGCGCGAGGAGGAATTTGAGGTGGGAGACTGGGTTCTGCTCCGGCTGCAACCCGTACAGGCAGGCTTCCGTCTTTCGCCGTGCTTACCAGAAGCTGGCCGCCCGGTACTTTGGACCCTATGAAGTACTGCAGAAGATTAGCCCGGTAGCGTATCGTCTGCAACTGCCAGCTGATGCTCGTATCCACCCCACTTTCCACGTATCATTACTGAAGCGCTACAGGGGTGCAGCAGATCGGGTGGAGACCACCGCCCCTCCGGTGTCGTCCGATGGGGATCTCGAGCTCATTCCCTTGCAGGTCCTGGATACCAGATGGGTGAAGAAAGGTGGACGCCTGACGGAGGAGAGTTTGGTTCTGTGGCAGCATATGGCGAGAGAAGATGCGACTTGGGAGGAGACGGTCGTGATACGACAGCGATTTCCGACATTTGACCTTGAAGACAAGGTCATTTATGATGGGGAAGGGGATGATAGAAACCCGCCCGACGGATAGAGTGGGTCGGGTTGGCCATGTTGGCCGGTTAGGAGTGGCATTTTTGTTATTTTCTCTATTAGTGCTGAAACTCATAAAAGAGGAGGGAGTATGTTCATTTGGGATTAAACAAGAATATTATAAGAATCCCTAATTTTCTCTATTCTCTGTTCTTCCCCAATTCTCTCAAATCCTAACTCTTTTCCCCCAGTTCTTCTCAATTCCCAACCCTACTCTTCTCTATCACAGCGGCAGCCATCGAATCACTACTCCAGATGGGTTGTGGAGTGAATGCCTCGATTGCAATGAGAATGGCCTCATAATCTGTCACCATTGCTGCTGTTGATCTCATCTAACCCGATTCCCAATTCCACCGCATTACTCGCATCCTAGATTCCGGGATATATCACTAGACATGCATTTTTTTAAGTTTGAGTTTACTCCCTTGAAACTAAGTGCAGCGAGCATATCCAATACTATGTAATTTCTTCTTCGGATCCTTTCCTTTATCAAAAGGATGGAATCTTTGGGGAAAGAAGGAAGTACAATATTTGTAGACTGGAAATCTGTTCTTCTGTGTTCTACCAACATTTTTACTCTGTAAAACTCAATTTTACAATTAAAGACACATTCTTCAGCTTTGCTTTCTGACGGTTCGTTCTGCTCTTTTGCAAACAATTCAATGAATCAAATCATCACTCAATTCCCTCAAGTAACATTTCATAAGACAAAGAGAAGCAAGTTTGAGTTAGCTTAACACTAAAATCTACTTATATATTATTATATATTCAGAAAAGCCACCAAATAGGTGACTGGATCACATGGTTGCATCAAAAGAAGCATCCCAAACTAGTACGAAAAACCCAGCAGGAGAACAAAGAGCAGCGAGTTGCAGCTACAATGACAGTGACTCGTCCACTGTGTTTACCAGTATACAAAAATTCTATCACTACCACACAGCTACAGGTATCAGACTGATCAAAACCATAGCTGCTGCTGCTGCTTCCACTAGAAAACTCTCTAGAGAGGCCTCCACCACTCATTGTAGCTTGAACTCCGACTGAGAGACAGCTCCTGATTAGCCTTAAGACTCCGACTCCTTTCTCACCATAACTCACTAACTAGACCAGGCTTCCTAATTT